CAACGGGCTTGCAATAGCCGAGGGCAACTCTAGCTTCTTGAGTGCTCTCCAAACTTCCCACGTGCTCTATATCTCGATAGTCCACAGCTGAAAGCATGAACCAATTGTTTTAGAACATAGCCGGTGGAATTGTGCATCATCAAATCCGACACGAAAAACGGACAACAGTATCAAGCGAAGTGAATAGTGACGGCGGTGATGCCGAGTCTCCTTTTCCGTTGTTTTTCCCTTTTTCTGCCTCATTTAAGAACTCTAGCCCATGGGAAAAGGTCGGAAAATTGTCTTCGATTTGGGACTAGTGGGCAGAGTTTCTGTTTGTACCAATTATTGTCGCGAAATATATTATATTTCCCCGCGCTAACAATGGCCACTCGCGCGCAAAAAAATTTTCTGGCGAAGTGATTTGCTGACGCTATCAGCGTGCACTATCGGGATTTTGAGCACGCTTACGTATATTGAATTTGATTGCGCGGCTCTGCTAGCTATGTTGTAACATTCATTGGAGTTGCACGCGGTGAATAATCAATCAACTAAACGAGGTCTAGAACATTATAGAGCATTTGACAAGGGGTTTTCTTTACATAGTTCCATTATGCCGACGACAGGAGAGTCTGAAGAAGTTAACGAAGAGGAAATAATTCTAGAACTTAAACGAGAGAAGAGAGGCAGGAAGACTGTAGTTAGTAAAACGCGCCACAATTTAGAAAGACTGAAGGCGAGTGGCGAAGATTCCGAGTCGATTGAAGATGGAATTGAGACATTGGGGGCGGTATTGGATTCATGCCTCGCCGTTATGGAGGAACTGCAAGGAGTTTTTTTTTTACGATTAGGGGACAATGAAAACAAGAAGGCGGTCGTGGAAGAAGCAGACGGTCTGGAGAAGGAAGTACATAATGTTATTGAAAAGCGGAAAAAGTAATTAAAAACATCTTGGAGAAAAATCATGCAAATGCAACAAAAGAGACATTGCTGCAAATGCCCTCGCCTACGACACCTGCTCAATCAACGAATTCGCCCGCCCGCCCACAGCCAGTCGTCAAGTAAGGTAAAAGTAACCAGCGACTTAAACCTTTAAAAGTACCAGTGTTTAGTGATGAGTAAAGTAAATTCGAGGATTTCTGGGAGATGTTTTTTAGTCTTGCTGACCAAGAGGTGGAGCCAACAAATATTAAAATGGCTAGATTGAGACAGAGCCTTACAGGAACTGCTCTTGAGGCCATCAGGGGCTTAGGAGTTTCAGATCCTGAGTACAAGGAAGCTAAGGAAATTCTTCAGTCTAAATTTGGTGGTGAGCGAAGAAGGTTACAGGCATATATGGACCAGATCGAAAAGATGTCTCCTTTGAAGAGCAATGATGTCCAGTCATTCGAACGATTTGCTGACCTTGTTCGCATGGCTGTTCTAAAGTTGAAAGCAGAAGGGCGTGATGGAGAGTTGGAGGATGGTGCACTACATAGTTTGTTGGTGAGAAAATCTGCGGACAGTCAGGTTGTAAGCTACATTCTTTGGCTCAGGGAACACAAGAAAGACAGGTCTGTGTTAGGCTTGAGGGATTGGTTGAAGGAGGAAGTGAGGATCCGAGTTAAGGCAGTGGAGATGGCGCATGGAATCAAAGCTGAAACTGTTGGGGCTGCTGTGGACAGTGGCAAACAAGTTGATAAAGGTGGTTGAATCAGGAATTTGTTCAGTGAAGGCAATCGGTTAGGTAAGGAACCAGCAGTGCTTACAAGTAAACCACCATGTGTGTACTGTGGAGGAAACCATGGAGTGT